CGCTAATTGGCGGTCCGTGGACGTCCGGAGCTGCTTCTTGTTAAGTCTTGCTCTTCCATTCCATGTTTATGAAGAAACAACAGGAACAGATTTGACTGTGCAGATATCTAGTAGGAATCTGTTCCAGTATTTACTGGGACAGCCAGAACGAAAATGAGTTGACACTTTAATAAATTCTGATTTTGAGGAAGTCACCTTGAGCTATTAGTGAGAACAGCTGCTCGGGCGAATGAACTTTACCGGCTTCATAAACTATCACTACTATCGATTTGTTTAATTATCTTCCAGCCCATTAATAACGCCATGCTTTGTCCAAATGATAGATGGAACGATGCTCAATCTTGTGCCCCTCAAGAATAAAAATATCTTTCCTCTGGGTTTTGTAATCAGACCATGTCTCTCTTTGGCAGATTTGCATGAGGAAAACTGTCATATCACCTACTTACTAATGCTTACTTTACTGACAGATTTGGGGTTCATGACAGGCCTTCTTGAATAATGCAGCTCCGAGAAGACAGAACAGTTTATTTATAATTGACATACCATATTGGTTATTGCTCGCTTACTGCGACGTAGACATAAGAGGTCAGTACTACTCACTTTTAAAGCCAGCCTTTATGCAGCTTCATGATATGCATATGATAGTTAATTAGTTAGGTTCTAAACTCAACTGACTCAACTCAGCTCATCCGCAGAGTTAATTTTATACGTTTTGTATACGTTCAGATGATGATTAACCTCAGCTGCAATACTGTAACCTCACAGGTCTTCGGAATGACTAACCTTAGCCGTTGGGTCAAACATATCATGAACCGCAGCTAGTATATCAGAGCATTGTTGTATATACGGAGCTAATCATCGCAAGTTGAAACTCGGTTTGGATCCTCACAAATCTAGAAAATGTTTGGAGGCTTCCGCTGTACTCTTTATGCCTGCACTAACTGCTCAGACTTTGTCATTAGTTCCAATTAACTATTTCGCCTCGACGTTACCTCTTTGATTTCGGTGCACTATTTCTGAGATTACTGTGTGGCCGTTCTTCTTTATCCAGGCACGAATTCTCTGAGCAATAGTCAACAGTTAGCCCATTTCTGGCTTCGAGTGTGATACAGATGCTGAATAAGGACCTGCAGTAAAACGGCGAATGCAGAGACGGCGCTAAGGAGAAAATCGAAGCGGTGAAAGCAGTTCCGGATGAAACTCTACAAAACACATGGCACATCATCTCCGTATAAAGAACAGAAAATGCATCGAGTCAGTGATGATGCATGACTACCTCCTGTGTAATAACCGCAGCGCTCAAGCAACTTAGTTTTATTATAAAAATGATACAGAAAAATCAACAGCTAGTTTAGCAGTCGAGTGAAAGATGTTCGGCTCAAAGTAGACGCGTAAGTAACGTGCCTTCTGGTGAGAAAGTGCGCAGCATGGAAAAGTCAGTAATAGAAGTAGTGGTCGGCAAATCTACTAACGCCAAGTCATTTGAACAAACATAAACAGTAACTTAGTTGCTCAGAATTGATAATGCTACATTGATTGCATGACATGGCCAAGGTTAATCATCAGAATAACCTCACACGGATGCGCTACGGCGGCCGTATGAACTGAGGAGGACCAATTACAGAAAAGCTTATGCTCATCACAAGCCGGCTCTTACAGGCAGGTCGTAAAATTACCACTAGGGAACCATGCGGAATACTTGACATAAAAGTTTCTAAAACAGAGAAAGTGAAAGACAAAAGAAATGTAATTCGATCGGTCAAGTACAATGTAAAGCTGCGAGGCATTATGAAGAACTGATCGGCGATCGAATAACTTTGAAGAAATTGACGCTAATTGAAATCGAAGTGCTGGGGATAGCGGTAGGAAAAGAAAGACCTTCAGCGAAACTGCAGAAATTTTAACAGCATAGCATTTTGACTTTATGAAGTATTTGTCTCTGCAAGAAAAACGGTTTGCCGCGTCACGCAATATGATGTCATCGCCTTCGTGTGTTCATCATATGGAATGAGGCTGTTGAAAAGTGGTCCTCGTCGAGGGTCTGTTGGCAGTAAAGTGAAATACGGACGGCAAACTTATTTGTGAAGAAAAATTCCCCCCCTCTGCCGCACTTCGAACGAATCAGTCAGTAACGCGCAAAGTCAGGCATAGGACAATGGTCGATTCACGTTTTGCGTAGAACTGTTTCAGGACGATCTTGTTCATGAAAAAGCCAGGCATCGCGAAGAAAACAAGACATGTGCCGCCGAATCGATATGATTAATTTTTAGGCAAAGTTGCCAGCGAACACACGCTGCAAATCGCAGTGATTAACGCTCGATAGCCACACAGAATAGCGGTGCTAATTCGGCTTGTTAGCAACGAAAGTGTGAATGTGACAGCACAACTCGTCGTGTGTGCACTCACCTCGTTTCGACGGCACGTACAGATTCAAGTTGAGACAGTCTTCCTGCTGGTCGCGCAGAAACTCGGACAGCTTTTTGAGGTACGTATGGCGACTCTCGGTCATCCACTTCATCGCCTCTGCGCGCATCAGCTGCAACGCCGGAGGCCAGAACTGGATACAGGCCGGCGGCATACGCGTCGCGTCCTTGATCGTGTTCGTCCACTTGGTAGCCGTCTGTGGCATCATGAAACGTCGCGAGCCGACCGGCGGGGCGCCATAAGGGATGCCGAGGTACTGCTCCACCTGAGGCAGGCCGGCGTAAGGCAGCTGCACCGATCGACCCCTGACCTTGCCGAAACTGGTGTCGACAATCTTCGACCGTACCTGGTCGAGCAACACCAGTACGGTAATCAGTTCAAGAAAGAGACGAAGCAACGACAACGGTACGGTCATTGGCGACAAGCTCATGAGTTCGACGAGCAACTAGCGACAACGGCCACGATGAGACGGTGGTCAGCGGTTTCCGTCCGACGCAGTCGTGGCGGGCGTGTATGGCGGTGTAATCAAGCAGCACGGCACTGGCACAGTGAGGCGCGGTGAGGTGCCTGAACGAACGAGCAAGGGCGCCGGTAGCTGTCGGATCGAAGGATGCTGAGGGAACACGCTGTTATCTTCTGCTGGCGAAGTCGTTGCTAAAATGACATCCGTAATTACGCGACAACGTGATGCGTGAAAAGCATCAAATAATGACAATTTTCTTATTGTCGCTGGAAAGTCCAGCAATGAAGGCAAGTGGAACCGTCGACGGTCGCCAACAGTTGTCGCTGCACCAACTTATTGGGGAAGGGCAAGAATTTGCGGAGGCGCTAACGGCGGTTACAGAAAAGCGCCTACAAGAAACGGCCAAGAAACATTAAACGTGTTATTGATTAAACTGTTTGTTATTACTTGAAAAGCGATACCACTCTGGGCGAGCGGTAGCTATCGTTCGCCAGGCCGGGCAGCCTCGAAGCGGCGGCAATGCGACAGTTGCGCGCGCCTAAGCTTAGTTGTGACGCGGCAGAAAGAGAACAAATGGCAGAGGGAGACAGAGTTGGGAATGAGGGACAGGCGGAGGCGGAGGCGGACGCGGACGCGGAGGCAGAGGCGGCGCAGAAGACGCTAAGACGAACAAGCAGGCAGGCGGGCAACGCGCCAGCCGAGTCGTTCTTGAAGATGGGCTGTCGGGTAAAAGACAGACGATATGGTTGCGACGATGCAGCCAATAGACGGATGCTGTTATGCCACGGAGGTCATAGCATAGCGTTTTTTACTCAAAACGGTGGTGCGATTGACATTTGCCACTTTATTGATTACCTTCGGATTAAGTTAAAGTCGGATCATCTTTAACCGAAAGAGAAGATGACGATTGAAGGAGACTGAACGATTCCCAATCGCATTACGGCATCGCGTCGCCGCTGACCAAGCACCGGGCCTTGACGTCACGCTGACGTGCGTTCTACTGACTGAGTGAATGAGTCAAAAACGACGGCCGAACGATCGTCCGCCAAACCGTTGAAACAGTTGCCTCCGTCAATGCTTTATTCCCTTGCGTTCATTCGTTCACGCGTTGCTCAGTTCGTCTCTGTGAGTTTTCTTTCGCCCTCGTTCTCAAACAACGCGCCGGCGGCCAAGAGGCGATTAGAGGAGGCCGGCCTCGGCCGGGGCGACTCGAGGCAGTTACCGCCGCTACTCTCCGGCGGTCCAACGATAAATCAGCGACTGATTGTCAACGGGCAATGGAAAGAAAGTGTGCTTTAATGACACGCGCTCATTATATCCGTCGCTTAGCTCTATCGGCAGCGGCGCGCGAATCGTCACTTACCGTTAGCCATCGACAGAACGGCTCCCAAGTAGGCAAGAGAATGTAAAGGAAGA